ACCAGTCTGTGATTCTATGATTTCTAGAAGATCAGTGTTTTCATTTTGTCTTACTATGAATTAGTTTTCAGAAAAACAAAAAGTTATTTTTAGAAGGGAAAAATACTGAAAAAATTCTTCCTGAAGTGGGTGGAAAAAACAAGAAGTTATTTTTAGAAGGGAAAAATACTTTTTCCCTAATCTCAGCATGCTATTTAATTACAGAAGATTTTAAGTAAGGCTAGTAAACAAACTACCAAAGAGAAATGTTATTGGAAGGAGCGTGATTTATTTTGTATTTAATGGAAACCTTATATTAAGATGGTAAAATCAAATGCTTAATATGTGGGCAGAGGCTGTGAATGCTTAAAATGGCATCTTGTAATGAAAAGGTGTTTGGGGACAAGTCAACAACCATGTGCTTTACCCCTCTTGTTTGATTTCAGTTATGTGCAGAGTGCCCTTAAGATTTTCAAGGCAGCGGAGGAAAGCAGATTGGACCGAGATGAAGAAAAAGCTTACATCCTGTATATGAAATATGTGGCTGTTTATAACCTCGTTAAAAAGAGACCCGATTTTAAGCAGCAACAGGTATAAAAGCTTTCTGACTGACCTCTTCTGCAATGGTAGAAGTTTTAGAAGTACGGAGAATTACGCTAATGTATATTCAAAGGATCACGCTGGTATTAAGTAAACTGTCTCGTGTATGAGATTTTTTTACTTCCTGTTGCTGACAGGTCTATTGTTAATTGCTTCTGCAGTTTGTTTTTAATACATGTAAGGTATATAAACTGTCACATCTGTGAATATTTTTTCAGGGAAAGGTATTCCTGTCATCTTCCCCATTCAGACCTTTTTTGGTGCAGTTGCCTTGCTTAGCCTTTGTTTATTAGTGCTGTAGAAAAATCTACTTACAAACTCAAAACTCATGCTTGAGAGGAAAATATTTTGATTCAAAAGATATCCTTTTGTTGCCATTAATGTAATACCTATTCTCTGTACATTAGCAGCTTCTGATCTGCGTGGAAGTGGGCATTAATAAGCTGTACTATTAATCTGTGGGGTGATGCTTGTAATTTTAGGATTATTTTCATTCCATTCTTGGACCTACAAATTTAAAAAAAGCTGTTGAAGAAGCTGAAAGACTGTCAGACAGCCTTAAACTCAGGTACGTGAATCCAGTTAGTAGCTAAGATATTGTTCCTTACACCTGAAGCCTGTACACGTGCAATTGCAGGTTTTGATGGTGGTGAGTAGTAAGGAATTGCACTTGAGTAGACCTTAGATACCCGAACCTCTTGAGACCTTAAATTTTTTATCCACGGAAGTCTGTTATTAGAGATAATTTTTGTCATCCAATAATTGCCACTGTATACGTTGTCTCTTAGTTCTCAGTAACTATGATTTGTTGATACTGTCTCCTTTTTTTTGTTTAATTACTAATAAAAAGAAACCACAAGATACAAACTATGTATACACTAGGGATGATCAAGAACCATTTCCTCCTTACCCTTTTGCTGGTAAGGTCATCTGAAACCAAAGGAATGTTCCTAACATTTACACACCTTAGAAAGTCCTCCTAGTGTGGATTTTGTTTACACTAACAAAACACATTTTTTGATTCTTTAGCCGGTCACTACACCTTTTCTCTACCTCTGCCACGTGCAGACATATACATGGAAGTGCACAGGTTTTGCCAGTATGTAACTGAGCTGATGCTAACGAGCTTTTGGGTAGCTCGTTTACGACTGTCAAGTTACATATCTGTGCCATAAGCGACAAAACGATGTCCCTAAGAAGTTGTGAGGTGGAATCTATCTTTAGGTGATACGCAGTGCCGTGTCTTGCTTCCAGCCTTATCTACTCGCATCTTCAGTGACTATCTCACCCCTTTCTCACCCTTTTAACTCTTTCTCTTCAGCTAGGCACATTTCCCTTCACAACCTACCCCCTCCCGACCCCCCATCCCAAATATTATCGTGAAAGCATATTTTATGAAAGGAACAGAGTTTTGAAAGTTGACACAACTAATAACTTCCAATTACTCGAAGCAAACGTATGTCTATTTAAAGGAAATACAAATGAAACGTGACTCCTGTCTAACTAGAAAAGTGGTTTTGGGGAAATTATTTGTATAACTTCTTCTCCAGACAGTAGGCCAGCAAGTATAGAATCATAGAATGAATCATGGAATGGTTTAGTAGTAGTTTGAATGCTAATTGTTAACTGAAAGTGGAGCTGCTGAAACATCAGTTGGATAGGAGCAGGAATACCTGTGTGAATGACCTATGTGCTTAAAGGTGTAAATGGGAAATTGATGGGTAAATATTCCATACTGACTGGATTAAACTAAAATCTGAAATACGCTTTTATGCCATTAAATGAGAACAAAATGCTCAGTTCTAACTTAGGATGCCAAATCAAGAAGCCAGTTTAAATAATGAAAGTGCAGACTTGCAGCCTCCATCCTATTAGTGGCCGATTAACGGAGTAGACTTGGAGGCAGAATTTGAGTTAATGATCTGGTTTATTAACGCAGTGCTTTTGAGATCAAATACAGCTGAATTCGTTGTTGTCATTTTAATCCTGACGAGGCAACATCCGATTAAAATGAGCAATTACTAATACAGTTCAGTTTTCATGTTTCGCTGCTTGGTTCAGTCATCAAAATTGTTCAAAACATTGTTTTTTGTTTTAGGGATCACTAGTTACCCTTCAGCTTCTCAGTTATCTTAAATATAACTGAGCCAACTTACTCCTAACTCGTTAGCTCTGTTGCAAAACCGAATGGAATACTGGGGATGATTGTTATAGCATGTTGAAGTTTACCTGTAAGTCACCAATACTTCCTCTTTCCTTTGCAAAACGACAAACCAATTACGTAGTGACACTATAGCTAAGCATGATCCCAGGTTTAGAGGAAAAAAAATGAGTTAGCCTTAAGAGCAGTGGCTATGAAATAGGACCCAAAGCAGGATTTAAAAATAAGAAAACTAACCCAAGAGTGGGAGAAAACAGTATTGTGCAGTCACGGAGGAAAAGAGGGTTTGTTGGAAATACAAAAATTGACAGTACTTTAACTTATTTTAAAACGTTGAATGCTTTCTTAGTTTCCTCCTGAAGACTCGATGATTATGGTATTAATTATCCAAGGCTAACCAATAATGCAGTATTGAAAAAAAAAAAAGAAAAGGCTTTTTTTCCAATAGATATGAGGAAGCGGAAGTTCGGAAAAAACTTGAAGAGAGGGACAGACAAGAGCTGCAGAGAAAGCAAGAACCAAAAGATGATGGGAAGAGTTCACTCAAAAACTCCTCAGAAAGTGCTGTGGACTCCAAAGGAAAAAGCCAAAGGGTAACTGAAGATGTTCACCAACTCTCTAATTAGTCTAAATATTTTAATCTAGCATTTGATCTCTCCTAGTAGCTATTTCCAGTTAGGAATCATGTGAGTTTTATATTATCTTACAGTCCCCATAACCCTTCTTTGACATGTCTTTGGGAAGATGTTGAGTCCTACCAACCTCCAAGTCTTGCATGGGGTAGACTAGGTTTTTGGTAAAGTCGGATCCTATTTTAGCACAGAACTGGCTAGTGTAAGAAACCCAGGTAGTGGTAATAAGTTGTTGTTATGGATAACGTCTCCTCTTTAGGAGAGAGCTGTTTTCCAGCAATAGTGTGGAAAGAAGCTAATTTATCCACAAATACCTCATGAATTTCATCTAGCAGATTATTCTGCCCTAGGTTGTGTTGCATATTAACTGATTTCTGTCTAGGAAGGGCAACAATCTTCTATCTTCTTTGTCAACACACTTTTAGAAGCAGCATCCTTTTTTCGGGATGCTTCCTGTGGCTTCCTGCAGTCTGACCATTTTTCTTTGAGCTCTGTGAGAGTCAGCGCCTCTTGGCCACCTTGGTTCTCAGTATTATACACTGAGCTGTTTTCTTTCTTCCTTCCAACACAGATTAATGGTGAGAGCAAGCATTCACTGGAAAGAACGGATCAGGCTGACAGACTGAGTGGTAAGAGCTGCCGTGTTCACGCAGATGTGAGAAAGGTCTCCACATGACTCTGCACCTATAGCTTAAGCACCTATGGCTTAAGCAGCTGCAATTCTTTTCAGGAGTTGCTTCACAGTCCGGAGTGACATCAGTATTTTGATGAAATTCTAGTATCCCGCATTTCAGTAACGGCGACTGAGTTATTCGTTGTTAAGCTCCGTGTTGCAGCTTTCTTCACTTGTCTTGAACATAGAAACCTGTACTTAGTTTTACAACAGTTTGATAACTAAGGCTGAAGTAGCCCTAAATTGGCCAAATTAGGAAGAAAAATCTCTCCTCAACTGATAGGAAAAAAATCTAGGCAAGGCTGAAATGTGTCAGCTTTCAGTTACCTAAGGAATTTTTCATTCTTCTCCCAACCTTCTGTATTTTGTTCCTGTAACAAATATGTGAAAACGTTCTCTAGAGTTCTGAACTGAAGAGGAACACCAGCAGCATGTAGTTTACAAATGCTTGCCTATATAGCTTGAGCTGAATGAGAGCACAAGGAGTTGAACTAGTTCATGGCTGAAGTGTTCAGTGGTGTCTAATGCAGCAGATCAGGTCATAATCGCGACAGTAGCGAGAGCAAAAGGTCCAGTGTGTGTATTCTGTCGTGTCTCACCCCCATTGCTTTGTGGGACTCTTCATCTGTTTGCAGTCTTGACTGCAGCCTGCGGGTGTGATCGTAGCTGTCTCCGTTGATAATGTAGATGTTTACCTCTAATGGCTTCTCTGTTTCAAGGAGCAATCACACCTGAGAAACTCTTTGCAATGATGTCGGACAAAAATACTGAATTGATTATAATGGATGCTCGAAGACTGAAGGATTACCAGGAATCCTGTATTCCAAGATCTATCAGTGTCCCAGAAGAAGCTATCAGTCCTGGGTATGCAATAGTGTTAAATGACAGTGAAAGACTTAATTTTGTAATTTTTATAAATTGACTGGGAAAAAAAAAATTACATGCTTTTAACGCTTGTACGCTTAGTTTCGGAGTCCGTGATGGATACCATTGGTGAGATCATGGTATCACAGGCTGGTTTGGGTTGGTTTATAAAAATTATAAAATTTACATGCTTTTAACGCTTGTACACTTAGTTTCGGAGTCCATGATGGATACCAGTGGTGAGATCATGGTATCACAGACTGGTTTGGGTTGGAAGGGACCTTAAAGACCATCTAGTCCCACCCCCCTGCCGTGGGCAGGGACACCTTCCACTAGACCAGGTTGCTCAAAGCCCCATCCAGCCTGGCTTTGAGCTGTGTCTGGATAGCTCTGTTCTTGCATGTACTGACTTCAAGCCACAGCATATTTATTTATTTATCCAAGCACATAAACATACATGAATTTGACAAAATGTTACTTGTATATTTGTCTTTAAATGCAAGTTATTACATTTCAGAGTTACTACTAATTGGATTGAAGCTAGACTGCCAGAGGATTCCAGAGATCCATGGAAGAGGAGGGGACACTTCGATTACGTTATACTGCTGGACTGGTTTAGTTCCGCTGAAGACTTAAAGCTAGGAATGATTCTTCAGAGCCTGAAAGACGCGCTTTTTAAGGTTGGACCGTTTTGTGCTTTGTCTCGATAAATAAGCAGGTCGAAAAGCACCTATAATTGAAAAGTATGTGGAAGGCTTCATGACACTTCAGGCAAATGCCTTGGTTCCGTTTTCAAATACTGCTTGTTTTGGTAGCAGAGGTGTCGTCTGAAGTCTCAGCTTCCCGTGCTCTATTGGAGGATAAAATCTTTTTTTTAATAGGCAAACACCAGAATGGTTCAACTCCCTTCCTCAACAACCAGCCCAAATGTAGAGTTCTTGGCTGACAGAATTATTTGGGAAAGTACTTAGTGCTGTTTGCCAGAAACCTTGTCACCCTCTTGCCTGTGTTAGCAACTGTAATTCCATATTCGTGGGAACTGTGCAGGCGGGCCAAAGTAGCTTCTTTGCAGTCCTGTCAGCCAGGCACTTCCTAGGACGGAGGGGGTTTGGTGGAGGAGACCCCAGAAATGTTTTGAGCGTGGTAAACTTTTCAGCATTATTGAATATAACTTTTAGAGAAACATTAAGGTTTGAGGTTCATCAGCGCAGGGAGCTTACGGAGGCAAGCAGATGCTCAAAATTTTCAAGTCAGAACGCTGGCTAAGGCTGTGTCTTCTTTATACGGGTGATTCTTATGAAACACGGCACATCTTGCTCGTACCTAAATGTTCAGGGCTGGCGTTCAGGGATTGTTCAGCCAGGTCTCCCTGTTCATTGCTTTGCAGAAGATTCTCCGAGTCCACTGCCTTGTTCATGCTCTCAACAAGGACGTGAGAACCTTGGGCGGAGGGCAGTCTGGAGCTTGAACTCTCAAGCGTTTTTCAGAAAGTGCACGTTATGCTTCCTAAATCCAGTGCCCCATGTCACTCAGCAGACTTGCCAGATGAGAAACTGAGGCAAACATGGTTATAAAAATATTATTCTGCACGGAGGGTTGTTGCCTGAAGTAGTAGTATGTGGTTCTTTCTGTATGGGAAATACTCAGGCTCTGTAGTAGGCAGAGCCAGAAACCTGCCTGCGTTGGGCATTCTGCAAATACAAAGATCCCTGTTCCCCGGAGGGCTTTTGCAGCCTCATTCATACTCATTCAGACTGGTTTGCATTGGAAGGGACTTAAAAGACCATCCAGTTCCAACCCCCTGCCATGGGCAGGGACACCTTCCACTAGACCAGGTTGCTCCAAGCCTCATCCAGCCTGGCCTTGGACACTCCCAGGGATGGGGCATCCACAGCTTCTCTGGGCAACCTGTCCCAGTGCTTCACCACCCTCTCTGGGAAGAACTTCTTCCTGATATCCAATCTAAACCTCCCCCCTTTCGATTTAAACTCGTTACCCCTTGTCCTGTCACTACAGGCCCTTGTAAAAAGCCCCCCCCAGCTTCCTTGTAGCCCCTTCAGGCACTGGAAGGTGCTATAAGGTCTCCCTGGAGCCTTCTCTTCTCCAGGCTGAACAAGCCCAACTCTCTCAGCCTGTCCCCATAGCAGAGGGGCTCCAGCCCTCGGAGCATCTTCGTGGCCTCCTCTGGACTCGCTCCAACCAGTCTATATCCTTCTGATGTTGAGGGCTCCACAGCTGGATGCAGCACTCCAGGTGGGGTTTCACCTGAATTCTGAATTCATTTGTATTCAGAAATAACCTGTCTCAGTGTAATGACTAGATGCAGAGATTTCAACAGTGCTGTTAAGATGTAAAAGTTTCTTTCCTGTTTTTAAATAATTTCATTCCAAACTTTTTTCCCTTTTAGTGGGAAAGCAAAACCATACTGCAGAATGAACCTTTAATTCTGGAAGGAGGTTATGAGAACTGGCTCCTTTGTTTTCCCCAGTATACAACAAACGCTAAAGTAACTCCACCCCAGCACAGCAGGAGCGAAGCAGTGACTGTTTCTTGTGAGTATAAAGGATGACTCCCCCCTCCTGTCCCCCCAAGTGTTTATAATTGCTGGATGTATCTTTAATTCATTCAGATATGTTTGGGATAGCCTTGTTCTGGCTAAATCTAAATTTTGGGGTGGAACATAGGGATGTTATTTTGCTTTTGTTGTAAGAGCTCTCTTCTGCTTCCCTCCTCTCACCCCCTCCTAAAGTGAATTTTACATATCCCTCTCTGGAAGAGGAGCCAGCTCCTGTTCCACCCGTTGCTGCTATAAAGCCGTCTCCAACAGAACTGGGTGAAACTGAAGAAACGGGAGATAATTTGGAAGAGAGACTAAAATCACTTAACAGACCAAATGTACAGGATGCTGCTGTTCCAAAGGCTGACAGTTCATTGGGAGTTAATCCAGTATCAATTACAAGAAGTATCCCTGAGGTAAGCTGTGGTTCTTCTTTTCAGTTAGTAGGTGGTTAATCTGTTGGAGCCCCACGCCATGCAGAAGCCTAAATCCACAAGGAAGCTACTTGGTACGTGTTTAAGCTGTGGATGCTGGTATATCGGTACAGAGACTATTGGTCGGCTGTGATGCCATGGAAACTCATCTGCAGAACTTTATGAAACTGAGTGTATTTAACAGGATTGCAGAGCTTTTAATGAATATTTTATAGGAATGCTTGAGATAGAAAACAACTTTTCTACTCAAAACATGTAGGGTGAAATAGAGGGAGGGCAGTTAGGCCAGGGCTTGCCTTGGCTCTTCCAAAGGCCTGCTTTTCCGTGATTTACCATCCTTCTCCACCTTAGGTGGTTTGTCACTGAGCCCAGCAGTGAAAATGTAGGAGTTTGTTTCTTCCTTTCATCAGGATAAAACTTCCTGAAGACACCTTTGCGTCATGTCCTTACACTAAAATGTTTTCCTTAGGAGACCCGGCTAAAGTCAAACTCTTCACTTTAACCCTTCCAGATACTGCCTTTAGTACAGATTTCACCCGAGAGACTCTATAAACTGCAAAATTTAGGAGCCTTGTTTTTGTTCTTCTCTGAACCAGCTGAGCTTGTATTTCTTCAGAACTTCCACTTCGGCATCAAAACCAACTTGCTCTCCTAGGTCTGAGCATAAGCCGTTCGTAAATACCTCTTCCCATCAAGCAGATGGACCTTAATCACGTGCTCTGTCACATGATGGAGAGCTCCAGGGCCAAATTAGGCTGCCCAGTTGCCCTAAAACATTCAGGTTTGAAAGCTTGAAAATGGAAAGAGTTGTAGCAATCTGTGCTTAACGCTGGCCTTACGGTTCTGTTAACTCTTATATGTGGAAGTTAAGTGAATACCTGATTTTAGAAAAAGCAATTTGAATTACCAGATCTAATGAAACTGAAAGTTCACTTTTTCTGAGGCAGAAGTCAACTTTGTCATCTGTGTTCTCTTAGACATCTCACTTAGGAAGAGCTTGGCTCTCAGGCCAGTAATGGCTGTCGCGAATTGTTGTTCTGCACTCTGTGTTACAGGTTGATCGTACGAAAAAGCCCTCACTAAAAATCCCTGATGCTAACAGACCAAAATCTCAGAGTGCCGTCAGTGACAGCCAGCCGGTCGAGAATGGACGGATGATTCCAGACCGATCCACGAAGCCGCTACACGATGCAAAGAGCCTTCTGACAGATGAAGAGAAAAGTCGTGTACATGCAGAAACCGCTGCTCTGTTAGAGAAAAACAGGCGGGAAAAAGAACTTCGGGAGAAGCAGCAGGAAGAACAGAAAGAGAGGCTCAGGCGGGAAAAAGAAGAACAAGAACAAAAAGCAAAAGAAGAAAAGGAACAGAAAGAAAAGCTACAGCAATCCAAAGAGGACAGAGAACAGAAGGAGAGGGATGAGCAAATAAAAAGAGAACAGGAGGAAAAGGAACAAGAAAGAGCACGCAAAGAAGCAGCAGAAGCCAAGAAGCAAAGTAAAAATGAACTGGAAAGCATCGGTGCAAAAAGGATTGAGCTGGACAAAATACCTGCGGAAGACAAAGGAAGTCGAACGCCGGAAGCTCAGAGACGGGCAGTGGGTGACGCGTCGCCGACCTTTGCTTCAGGCAAGGTTAGTGAAAACCGTTACGAATGGGGAGTAACTGCTCGGGCTGATCGGTGAGTGCGTACTCCAGCACCCACCTGGAAATTTTCAGTACACCACTGGGTTTTTATCCTCTACGTGAACGTAGAGGAGGAAGTTAAAGTCAAGACGCGTACTTATAATTTCATTTTTTTGGCAACACAGCCTCGATTCTTGCTTGTAGGTGGGCAGCATGGAATCCCTGTAGGATAATAAACCTTCCCACTGACGTGGAGCTAGAAGGGATGGTTCATAGGCTGCGATCCTCTCTCTCAAACATAAAGGCATGGCGATGTTTTATCTCCTTTACTAACCTGGTACCGTATGTTACAGTGTTGTAACACCTGCTAGGGACAGAATCGTATTGTCATTGCAAACTTTAGTGCCCCCAGCTGCATAAACGCTGATACAGCAACCTTAGCACAGTCATTCTTGAGCTTTTGACTGACAGAGCAACGTGAGGTGATCCCAAAATGACTGCCTAGGGTAAAATAAATCCATAACGTTGGCTTCACCGTTTGTCTTTTTCACGGAGAGGCTTTGTCACAGTGAAAAATAAAAGGGGGAGCTGTCTTTAATTAAAAAAAAAAAAAATGTATACCCCACAGTTTTTAGTGGGGAAAGTAGTGTAGGTGAAACAGCTGCACTTCATTTCTGAGCTCTGGAAACGACACAACAGACGCTTTTATGGAATACAACGTTCAGCTACAAAGGCTGTTCCAGCAACTTGCCGTTAGTATAGGCTAGGAAGAAAAAAAATGGTGTGTAAATACCTGCTCTGACCCCTTCTTTGTGGCACATGTGTTTAACCACCAAAAGAAAATACAACTCTGCTTTTTCCCCATTTTGATTTATTGGCATTCTTTACTGACATTCCAGCTGAGAATTGAAAGCCTTCTCTCAAAATCTCTTACAGCAAACTGGGGTTAAAGGACAACCAGACAGTGGAGCTCAAAAGCCAGGACCCCTTAGAGAGGATTCTGAACAAGATACTGAAAGACTTAAAGTAAATACAATCTGTTGTATGTAGCCAAAACCAACCCAGCACAGCTGCCTTGATTATTATATTGTGTTAAATTCCATCTCGTTGCAATTTGTAAAGTCGTCATCTTAAGAAAAGACCATGCCGTGTTTACAGCTGTCTGTTTGCTATTTTTCATTTGTCTTATTCATCTGAAAAGAGTATCTGAAGCTTTGACTAGAAGTCTTCATGTTTCTGTTGGCGGTAGCAAGCATTCCACACTGTCATCTCGTGCATACCCCTTGGCCTGCCCCTCTGACAGGGAGAAAAGATCACACACACACACCCCGTGCTTAATGGAAGCACATCTTCCTAATAAAGTCACTTCTTTAGGGAAGAAGTTGGGTATTCAGGCTTTTGTGAGACTCAATTGTCCTTTTTTCATCCTGGAGCATGTCAACAATTGGGTTTTAGATTGAGTGGTGGCAAATAGTGTATTGCCATTACAATAAACTGTAGTTCCAGCTGTAGTCAAAGGTTGAACTGTTTGGCTCCGAATCGGGTGACTGTACAGGGAGGTCCCAGGCAGCTTGCTGCTCTGCCCAAGTAACTGTACCTACCTTCCCTTTCTGTTTACTCGTTAGTCTCAGCGGGAGCCGTTAATGAGAGTGCGAAGTGAAGAAATGGGAAGGATAATACCAGGACTGCCTGCCGGCTGGGCAAAGGTAACTTTCCATTCTGATGCTGCGATCAAGTTGCCGTGTGCAGTTTCAAAATGCGTTTCAGTCGTGTCTGATTTCCGAGTTAGATCTTCGGGGGTTTTTGAATTACTATTATTTCCCTTTCAACCTCTACATGGTTATCTTCTGAATTTTAGCATTGTTTGTAATGCAGCTGCATTACATCTGCTAATGCAACTATGCTGTTCATATGCAACTGCGGATCATCTGCTCTTCCTGGTGCGAAGCAGTTGCTGCTCAATACACGTTTTGGCGAAAGCGCTGCCTTCCGGTGAATGTAATCCGTTAAGGACAGACCAGTCACGGCTGTTAACATCTCAGTGTTGGAAAAACTCATGCACTGTTAGTGCAGTAGGGTAAAAATAGGTGAGTGAGTTAATGAGGGATTTTTACTGGGTTTTAAAAATATTTTGTGTTTGGCTTTTTTTTTCCCCAAGTTTCTGGATCCAGTGACTGGAACCTTTCGTTACTATCACTTGCCAACAAATACTGTTCATATGTACCCGCCGGAAATGGCTCCTTCATCCACTCCTCCCGCGACCCCTCCAACTCGTAAACCCAAGCCACAGGTGACTGTTGAACGAGAGAGAGAACACTCCAAACTGAAGCGCTCCTACTCGTCCCCGGATATA